ATATCTAGCACTAAACAGGATGCTCTGGTGGTGTAGTCCATAGGGAACTGCACTACGAACTCAAAGGATGTACCTCTCTGGTCATTTGACTTCACAGACAACTTGGGAGAAAGAAGGGTGATTTCCTTTTGGGCAATTTAAATGTTAGAGGATTAATCGTCCGGTTCTGATTCTTCAGCATTGATGAACAATGACTGTATGGAGATGATGAAGGCTCAGTACACATTATTTCAAACCTCTCAAAATCTTTTAAGAGTTTAAATTTTACCAGAACATTCACAGTATGAGAAATTTCAAGCAACTTTACGAAAGGGCACTTGGGTCTAGTGGAAGGATTTGAACCCTGATCTTATTCCAAAGCCATCATACTGTATAAATGAACTTTCTACTTATGTAATCTATCCCTACCTTTTTAACTTGTACAGACAGAATTTTACACAGACTCCAGTTGTGGCTTAATTGGGACTATATATAATTGCCATCTATTTTAATAGCTGTGATCATTAGTTTGGCACATTACTGTTCCACACGGTTTTATTCATCCCATTCCTTTCTATATCATGTCCAATATTCTGCTAAACTTAACCAAATTAAAAAGTTACAATCTCAAATGATAGTAGACGCAAGAAGTCAAATTGTGTTAGGTAAATGCTGAGTTTTCCATCATCCAAATTTTGAGAAATACATGTATTTGTTATTATCATAACTTTTTGACTTTCAATAATTTTACATTCTTACTGAACCTATGCTACAAATCTAAAAATACATACTTTTTTCCTCTAAATGTTACAATTCATGTTGGAATTTTATGCATTTACTTTTCGTTGAATCTTTCCAAATACCAAGTACTATTTTTGTAAAACTTAATTTTGTTCTTTGACCTGATAAAAAATCAAATAACTTAAAACATTTTTAAAAATAAGAAATATGCTTTTATGTGGGGAAAATGGTACATTTCAAACAAAAATAAACAAGTGCAAGTGCATGACCTAAATTTCAGGATTTATCTTGAGATTTCCTACAATTCTACAGAATGAGTGTCTATGATACTGAGGAACATGGGTTTAGTAAACCAAAAAGCCTTATAGACTTGTATAGTTGAAAATTATCTTAGAAGTGTTAATTCTAAATTTTTTTAGTTATAAAATAGGAAAAATTTAGATAGCATGAATAAAATTTTTAAGAAATAATGATCTGTATGTTGACTCAGTTCCTAACCATCACCACCCTTAAATTATCAAGAGATAAAGAAACACTTTTTTTTTTTAAGTAAATGAGAAGTCCAGGAAGGCTAAAGAAATCTAAATTGATTTCAACGTTAACCTCCCTTCCCCCTGGCAATCTTCATTAACCCATCAAGAATCTAGTTTTATTTGCAGTACGCATAGCGATTCTGTGATCAGTGAAGGTTGGGGAAGGGGAGAAAGTCTTCCCAGAAACAAGATTTCATTCCTGTTACTTATGAGCAGATGAACACAACTACCTGAGAATTTATATAACCAAGCTGTCAAAGTTGTTTTTATATACCTAATTAAAAGCTTAAGCTAAAGTGCAAATACATTAAAATCCAAACACTGTTTTCCTAGTGCCTCAAGTAGAGTTTATTGGTAGTTCAGTTGTCCACATTTCTAGAAATATAAACATTCTAAGTGGTTGTCACTAGTACAGGTACATTTAACATAGAAAAGCTCCACAAGAAGCTACTTAATTTTGTGTATAACAAGAATCAAGGTTCCAAAAATTCAGCTGTGCCACTAAAAATAACCAAAACTCAAAAAATCAAAACCAAAACTCTGCTAGCAAAGTGTTTCTTTTAGCGATCTTCAGAACAAATAGTTATTGGCTTTACATACAGACGTTATACTGATTTGGTGACATATAAAATTACACTGGAAGTAATGTGAAATACAGTGTTATCTTTGCCTATATAGGTAAGATTTGGTAAAAGTGTTTCCTTATTTTAGCAACTTATCCCAAAGTAAGAGCAGCACCAAGTAATTTTCCTAAAAATACAGCTATGCTAGTTCCCTCTTCATTTTCAATAACTGAAGTTTTACCTCTCACTTCTCCCTTGTATAATCACGACTGGTCTGTACACGTAACACTTCAGTTTGTAAACAAAAAGAATTAAAGCTTGGAGCACATATATAGGTTTGTTGGTTGGTTTGTAGGGTTTTTTTAACATTTTCACACCACAGTGCATCAGGTGTTGCGTATAAAGATTTTGCTCCTCCCAAAACATTATAAAAATGTGAAAAGAATTACGTGTCCAGCCAATAAATACTAGAACAAGTATTTTTAAATGAATTATTAAGACTGTGTATTACAATCTGATCCTTTTGACTGAATTCATCAGTTGCTTTCTTCTTAAAACCATACATGTACCCAAACATATTCAATCTACATGCCCAAATTTACTACAAAGGCAATAACTGTTATTCAAGTGAAAGTGCTTCTGATCGCAAACTAGTTCTACACCTAAACCACCAAAAAGGTGTTCTAAACCTGACCATGTGAAAGATGCATAGTTATTTCTAAAGAGTAAAACACTACACACCAAAACATGCTGTCAGGAAAACTAATCCATGCACCTGAATTATGCCCCAAATACTGTGTTTTGATTACCTTTAGACCAACTTAAATCACTGTATAGAATAAGACACAGCATTATTTGATTCCAGAAACTGATAAAATTTATAACAAAAAAACCCTCCTCTTTGTTCTTTACATTAAAATAAGGCTGGACTAATGTTACCCATATAACTCTCTATGTGTATACATAGCTTAACATCTCCATTTCATCTAAACTTACAAAGCCTTGTATGCAAATTCTTTGCAAAAGACATCCCTCTAAAAATATATAAGCACAACACTAGGCCCACACTCTTCAAAGTTTTATTTCACTAACTTCAGGTCAAATTCCCACAACTGTTTCCTGATCAATTTTATTATCCTTGCTTAGCTTCCAGAAATGGTAGTACCAAAACGATTTGGGGGTAGGGAGTGAGAAGAGACCACTTTCAGAAGCATTGCATTTACTCATCTTCCACAAGGCAACAGAGTTGGGCATCCGAATGTTCAACAAAACAAAGCTTTAACAGCATCCAGGAGGGCAGGCAGGCAATCCAGGCTGCAGACACTCTTCCATTTGTCAAAATCAGGCCAGAAAAAACCTACTCCACACAAATACAAAAGATCTTACTAGTCATCTTTTTTTTTTTTGTTGCCGCAACATTTTTCTTCTTTTAATTATCATATCATGTAGTTTCTCAAGGCCTTCCTTCAGTCCATCTCCTATGATTGCACAGGTAGGCTGCAAATGCCAAGGAGTTGATGAGCTCAGTTCACCCATAGCTAACAATTTCTCAATTTCTGAGAGAGACAATGAATTCCTTAAGTCCTGTTTGTTAGCAACGATAAGTACAGGGACGCCTTGGTTTTCTGATATCCTAGTTATTTTATGAAGTTCAGTTTTGGCTTCTTCCATCCTTTCCACATCAACAGAGTCCACAACAAACACAATGCCATCTGTACATCTGGTATATGATTTCCACAGGGGCCTTAATTTCTCCTGACCACCTACATCCCAGAAGTGAAAAGTGACTGTTTTAGAATTTCCCAAAGTTACTTTGATTTTCTCAGTGTTAAATCCTTTGGTAGGTACAGACAGTATTTACAAATTCATTGAACTGTAACCTGTATAATACAGTTGTCTTTCCAGCGCAGTCCAAACCCAGAATGACAATGTGGAAGGATTGAAACGAAGGCAAGCTGGACAGGATAGATGTCTGGGCTGACAGTCCATTCCCCATTTCCAGCTGCAAGTAAGTATCCCAAGTGGAAATGTTTTCTTCTCCAGGCTTTTGAATTTCTCTTCCTAGGTCATCCAGTTACAAGACTGCTGGGGAAAGGGGCAGGGAGGGAGGGGATGAAAAAGTTACTTTTGTGACATAACACAAATTTGTCTAAATTCTGTCTAAAATAATCAAATGAAGAACTTGATAACTAAAACGTGCTTGGCCTAGTGGGTAGAGAGCTGCATTCCTAACCCACAGGCAGGTTGTTGGAACCCGACAGCTGTTCTGCCAGGAAGAAGACTGACAATCCCCTCCATCTTAATTTATAGCCTCTGAAAACCTGCAGAAAGGCGGGCTCTGAGTCGGCTCTGAATCAACTAACTCACCGGCAATGAGTTTGAGCGGCTTGAATTTTAATCGTTTGTTTTTTAGTAAACAAACCAGACGCGATGCAAAACGTAAGCAATCCAAAGCAAACGATAAAACAAAATTCTTTTAGGACTGCCTGAAATGACTGTAATACATGCTTTCATACGCCTCTGGGCCCCAAACTTCAATGACCTCATTCTGGAGACAACTCGCTGTAAACACTGAAGTACCTCTGGGAGAAAACTCACAACACATAATCTTATCTTGGCAGTCTAATTCCACGTGTTCAAAGCACTCCCACGGGCACTGTAACTCCCTCCCGAGACTCCAAAATAAACGCCGCTCTCACCTCCTGAACAGGAGTCTGTGTCCAAAAGAGAAAGCACTGGCAAACAGGCGTTACGAGTAGGATGGAAGGCGCCCATGCGCGCTCTGCTAAGCTCTCCACGAAGCTGTGGCAAGAGCTACACCAGAAACCTGGGACTCAGCCTCCGACCACGCCCACCCCTCACGGCCCACCCCTGATCCCAAATCCCATTGGTCAGCCAGGCCAGGGCGGCTCCACAACTCCCGCCCCGCCGCCCTAATTGGTCACTCCCGCAGCGGCGGAGCCAGGCTCTCTCACGGTCCACAGGCACCACCTGTTGCCCTCAAGTTAGAAAACCAGGCGCCCGGGGAGGGAGCCCAAGAGCCCCCCCGCTCCGCCCTCCCGGCGCACCTGCAGCGCGGCAGCCCGGCGCCGGGCCGCGGTTAGCACATCCGGGGCCCAGGGTCACTGCTGGCGTTAACTCTTGATCGGCTAGCTTGAGGGCGCTCGCGGTGGACATGCCAGTTCGTCAGGCGTGAAACAAGCAGCCTGCGGACCCGCTAGGGAGGCCCACCCTCCCAGAGCCACCGCCTTCCCTTCAATGCTCGCCTCACCCGGCAGGGCGTGGCCACCACTGCTGCCCGCCCCGTAGCGACTCACCTGACTAAGCCTCCTTCCCTGGTCCCGAACAAATGTCGCTCCCGGCCACCTTAGAAACGCGCTGTTATCTTTTCTGGGCACCGGCGAGGCCGGGGCGGTGGCGGAGGACGAGACTGCGCTTCTAGCGGCGCCTAAAAGGGCACCGCGCGCCAGGCAGCCCTAACGGTGCTCACCGGTCGCTCCCAGCGCCAGCCGCGGGCCCGCCCCCTTCCCGCGCGTCACGCCCGCGCGGGCCAGTGTGGGTCGCGCGCGAGCCGCGTCTCCTAGCAACGCCAAAACAGGGTTACGTTCGAACGGACTCGGGGCGGGCGGCCCTTGGAGCCGGGTGGGGCTTCCGGCCTCCGCCCTGCGAGCTGTCCCTGTAGGCAGCCGTTCTGGGTTGCTGCTAGCCCCGGGCCTACCCCGCTGCGCTTCTGAGCCGGGCACCTTCGGACGCCCTCGGGGCGGGGGCCTGTGACGCAGGTCAGGGGTGCCAGCGGACACCTGACGGGCGGGTCCCTTATATAACGGGGTGACGTGGACTTGTCCCTGTGGCTGCCCTGAGCAGCCCGGGTCGGACAGGTGTCTGTACTTTACCACTTTCCTTTTGCAAAGCACATCAGGGTATGCGGCCCACCTGATCCTAGCCGCTTCCCCTTGGGTGGAGACACGTTGAAATGTCCTAGTTTTATAGCTAAGGCGTTCTCAAAGTTTAAATGGTGATTTCTGGAACGGAAATCTAAATCTACTGAATAATCTTATTTTGGGTTTATTTTCAAATTACGTAGTAATAAACGAGTTTTGTGACGTGTTTAGTCCACAGACCTATCGCCTTTATGTTTACATTTAAAAAATAAAAACTCAGTTTTAAAGAAGTAACTGCTGGGACAGTTTTTGTTGTGTAGGATTTTAGAAACACCAGATGCGATTAGCACATGTTTTTGCCCCTGTATGGGATGTTTAATTGAGCAAATCAGTTAAAATTACATTCTAGCAGCACAGTTATTTTTAACAATTTGTTAAGTAAAAGTCACTATTAGCAGTCTTTTTGTTTGTTAGATTTCAAAATACTTAGTGTAGAAAATGGCTGGACTATTTATATATGTATATAAGCAATATGTAACTACTTTTGGAGCTCTTATAAAGAATTTCTTTTATGTGGTTTGCTGTTTTTAACTTTATTGTGTTTCGAGTGGAAGTTTGAAGACCGAATTAGTTTTCCTTTTAACAGTTCTTACACTGTTTTATGACATTAATCACAAATCCCTACTTTGTGACAGAGAGCTCTGGTGGCCTAGTGGCAAGGAGCTGCACTACAGTCTGGAAGGCATGCGGGTCGAGGCCACCAGCTGGTAGATGGGAGAAAGCCGGCCAATCTCCCGTGCAATTAACTGCCCTGAAAACCCGCTGGATGGTTAGCAATGGGTCGGTTCTAACTCAACGGTAAACAACAACAACGTTGTGACAGCACTTTTCCCCATGCCTCTCGATGATTTTCATTTCCGTTCTGTCTTACTCATTCCTGCCTTCTGAGCTTTATCTCAGAGCAAATGCTGCCCTTTTAATTTTGATGGTTGGTTGTTCTAAGGAGTGAGCACCTCCCTGTATTATTGCTCATCTTAGAGTCCTGTCGTTTGGTTGAAAGAGGATCTACTGGATATGCTTTATTCTAGGTTTGAAGTGTTACTTATGACCATAGCGTTGGGTTCCACCAGTTTCCATCAGACCAGCAAGTCTGGCCATGTGTTTGTCAGTTCTGTGCATATTTTCCTCCCATCCTATCCAAGACATCCCCCTGTGATCGCTTGGAGAATGGTGAGCGGCAGCAGCTCAGCACTATCTAGTTGTGATCTCAGGATCATAGAGATTCACTGCGTTTTGTGTTTTTTGTTTGTTTGTTTGTTTGTTTTATGAATGTGATTCTAAATCTAATTACGTCCATTCATTGATAAGTTTACTGAGCACTATTAGGAGCAATTCTTTGTGCATGCACATAAAATGAGAGCAGAACAGACACGGCTGCGGTCTCGTGGAATACTAGACTAGGGATGAAAGTAGCCACATTGTCATATGAATAAATTTAATTACAAATATTGATAATTGCACATTGCTTACAACAAAAGAAGTATACTGATTGGACATTTTGGGAAAACATCAGTAAGCACACTTATTTTTTGGTAGAGGTTGTAAGAGACAGTGATTTAGAAGAGTTTAGTGTGTGTACCTTTAAGATGGGGTTAGTTTCTTTTGTTATTTTCCAAATATTGACTGGAATGCAATACCTTGATTTTTTTCTAAAGACCACTATTTCCTGTGATATTCACCACTTTCCCCTAGGTGGTACTCAGAGTGAATGCGCGTTTCTACTTACTGGGAGGTTGGAGAATTGAGTTCACCAAGAGATGCCTCAGGATAATGGTCTGGCAACCAGTCTACTTCTGAAAGCTGTCATTTTTCACAGGAGCATCTTATTCATCAAAACTATCAGCTGGGAGCTATATATGGTAGCCTTGTCAGCAGGGAATTGTGTTGCCAAGCCAAAGACAGGTGGTTTGAATCCACCTGATGATCTTTGGGAGAAAGCTGTAAGCCACCTGTTGTATGATTTACAACCTCAGATAACCTGCTGGAGGGGCAGTTATAAGTTTGAGCAGTTTCTTGTGTTGTTTACTGCTTTAAGACTCCTGCTAGCACAATGACTAAGTACTTGAATGTTAGCTAAAAGATCAGTGGTTTGAATCATCTTAGTATCTTTCCTGGAAAAAGACGTGGAGGTCTGCTCTCATTAAGATTATAGTCATGGGACACTTTATTCTTTCAAGTGGGGTCACCATGAATTGAAATTACTTAATGACATAACTCTTGCCGCCTTATTTAAAGCATGGAATTTCATTAACCATTTGTAACAAACAGCAAGCAAATGATCATGAGATTGGTACAATGACTATAGCCTTTCTTTGGAAATACATGGAAAAATCTGCATAGTCTCCCTAATGCAAGAAAATTCCTTGACAAGTAGCCTTTTGTTTATAATCCCTTTAAAATGAAAAATCTCCTTTATATACTCATTTCTGAAGAGTTGTTCCTAGAGCATAAAGGAGAAGACATGAAAATACTGAGAGCATCTGACCTTGTAAAATCATTTTTACTTAATTGCTGTTTAGTGTTAGACCCAAGGCTTTAAGCTGGAACAGGATTAGGCTAAATCAGAAAATCGTCTTTACACGGTTAAGGGGTTGTAAAAGAAAACATGAAAAAAGGATATGCAACAGAGACCATATGTGGCCCACAAATCCTAAAATAATTACCATTTGGCTCTTATTAGATAGTGTTAGTAGATAATGTTTTCCTACTCTTGTAGCAATAAAAACCATATGAAAACTACAACAAATGATGTAAAAGTGATGAAATTTTTGGAATACACATCCATATTTATTGCATAACCTTCCTACGGGATAAAATTCAGACATTTTATTTAGATGTCGTGCCAGGAAAATACTTTTTTCCCTTTCGACTGTAGCTTCTAAACGACGTGCTGAAGTGGCCCTGGGTGCCTCCAGGAACTCAGAGGCTCTGTGTGATAGTTTCATGTTTGAGGGAAACACAGTGACATCTGTTGGAGTATATTAACTACAACAGTTATATTTGTAAGCTTTAATAAATTAATCTTTCAGTATTTCCTTTGGCCATTATGAAAAAAAATTCCGAGATATAGGGACTTTGGTTTTCTGAACTTGGCTAATAGTAATAAAAACCTGATAGTGTAAAGTTACACATTTCTTA